GGCATGTTTACACAAACCGGTCACCTTTCACTATGATCCAACTCGCTTGTCTCGCGGCAGGCTTGCGTCAAAAAATGGATAGAAAATGTCTTGCTCTCGTCTCGCACTCGTCTTGCTCTTGCCTCGCTCTTGTCTCGCTCTTATCTTGCTCTCGTCTCGCACTCGACTCCTCAGGTCTGGACGCACCACAACAGCGTTCTCACATGCGACGGACCGTCCGCGACGGACCGTCCGTCGTGTTTTTTCAAGATAGCCGTCGAAGAAACTCCGTCGGACGGAGCATACATGCCCATGTGAAATTGTTCATATAAACTCATGGTACTTACTCGAGGTCACGGACGCTCCGTCGCGGACGGTCCGTCGCATGTGAAAGCGCTGTTAGACAACTGTAAAGAATCAAATGGTATAGTCTGTGAAACGAATAACTTTGAATTTGACAGTTCCGCGGGCTTTTCGAGTGTTAATTTTATTAGGTTAGCAACTTGCGGCCATGCTGACGCAATGCCGTCTCTAATAGAACAGCCTCGGAGCGAGATTTATTACGTCACGCTAGTTAGATACTACTGATTAATAAATATGTTGTAGAATACATGGAAAAGATAATTATTCCCCGCATTTTTGGTTTGTATTTTAAAAATGATATAGTTTACATGAAATATACTTAATATACAGTTAATAAATACAATATATATACCTATTTATAGTAATAAATATTTTGGCAAATAAATTATGAACCATACAAATGCAGCAAATGTTTTACAATATACAAATAATGAATAGGTACATTGACTATTGCTGAAATCGTACTCCATAGTCAATGTAGATAGTTTTAGTGTTAAGAATAATAATTTTAAAAAATATGTGGTTATCTTTTGACAAGTTTATATTAGTTTATTAATTGCAGTAAACATTATGTGGTGTGTAGTCTGAATATTTTATATGTCATTCTTTGGATTATATTCGACACTATTTTTTTCATATGACACAACACTGATGAAGGCTATAATGTTAGCCGAAAGGTTTTTTTTAAACCAAATTTAAATAATGAAAAACCAAATGAAAACTTACTCAGCGTTTTTCCCGAAATCCCAAGAAAATCAAAAATTTTAGAGTAATTTTACATATTATAAAATGACAGCGATCATTATTTATTTCATAGCCTTTTTTCTATGATATTGTATTATTTGCAAATATAATTTTTTGAACATTGATACTTGCAAAATATACATATAAATTTTGTGAATGCAAATAATAATATATCACTATTAGTAGATATTGAATGTTTTTTGTTAAATTAGATCGATTTTCAAACCCCAAAATTTAAAATATATTTTACATTTTACCCATTATCCTATGTACCTATTCATTATTTGTATATTGTAAAACATTTGCTGCATTTGTATGGTTTATAGTTTATTTGCCAAAGTATTTATTACTATAAATAGGTGTATACATTGTATTTATTAACTGTATATTATGTATATTTCATGTAAACTATATCATTTTTAAAATACAAACCAAAAATACGAGGGAGAATTATGTTTTCAATGTATTCTAGAACATATTTTTTAATCCGTAGTATCTAACTAGTGTGACGTCATAAATCTCACTCCGAGGCTGTTCTATTAGAGACGGCATTGGTCTGATATTTATAAATGTCAAAAGCTGATGACATTTTACTTTTGACAATTATGACATTTCGTGTTGATTTTTGTAAGAAGAGGAAAAACTGTCACTTGTTTTATTATTTTCCTTTTCTATTCCACGAAAGTAAAAAGAGTTACCTATCTGATCCGTTCAGGCACTCAATTTAAAGAATTTCAGTAACTTTTTTGACAGAGGGATTTTATATTTGCCATGTTGGTAAAAAATAACGGTCAAAATTCAAAGTTATTCATTTTATAGACTATACCACCATGTCTCAAACGTATCGGTCCTTGAAAAAACTAGCTGCGTGAGCGCTGCAGTCATGATTATTAAATCTTGCTTAAGATGCCGGATGCAAGGAAACCGCCTACCGAAATCTCTTTTTTGCGGAGAGCTAACCGGGTAAGAGGAAACCGGGTGGACAACTCAAAAGGTACAAGAATATTTTCCATGAAAACTTAAAGGGAATAAGCATTTAGAATGAGTGGAAGGGAGCAACGCACAATAGAACTCAATGGAGAAAAAAGAAAAACCAAAAAGAAAAGAGGCAACAAATTAAACAGATTTTTGAATGTCCGGAGTGCGGTAGAGAGAAAGCTCACATTAAGCTAAAATGTGTTCGTTATTTTGGTTGAAACTAAATTAATATTTGATCAAAAACTAATGCCATTAACTAACTTTGCAATAAAAGCGCGCAAGTTATGAGGACGTATGAAATTTAAATGTTTTAAAATGACAAAATGTCGCAACTTTGTCCTCCGCTTTATACCGTTAAAATATTTACAAGCATGGTATATTAATGTGACATTATGAAAGATCCATTTAATGGCAAAAATACAGTGTGACGGAGAAAAAATGTTATCTCTTCTTTTATATCGAAATCTTGGAATTCAAAAAAAATATCAAATCTACAGTGTTGGAAGCCAGGAATCTTGAAATTTATATTTATAACGACGGGAAATTGCATTTTAGATTTACCGATCAAATGTATTTCATAAAGAACTTCAAATATAGCTCCAGTGGCTCGAAAATTTAATATACCACCTACATTTTCAGAAATAGTTTTCATTGTTAAAAGCAACATGTGTATAAAACGATTTTTATTATTCCTTATAAAACACCTCACTGGAAATATCAAATTTAATAATATTTTATCAACTATTATTAAAATATTTCAGAACGCCTCATCACAAGCCAAGAAAAATGCGTCTTATAAATTCTTCGTCGTTTTTTTTTAAGTTAAAAATATTAAATATTAATAACTTGAACATCTCAAACATGTGAAACTGTCTTTGTCGTGTGTAAAATTTGATATTCTTTTAATATATGTCTCAGTTTGATCTCAAATGTTAGTATTTTTAAGGAAATACCCGGGAGAAGCAACCCTATTCCTGGAGATTTTGTCTGAAGTTAAAGGAACTGTTCGAGTTTGTCTATTTACTGTTAAAAATATTAATATCGGTACGAAAGAACTGAATTTTACAGAAAATGTATAGAATTTTATATACTTTCCAGACATGTATAGCACTGTAAAAAATTTTTAGAAATTTTAGGTGTATTCTTAATTTCCAAAAAGTCGTTCATAGATCTGGCTGGATAATACTAGGTTCATAGTTCCTAAATCTACCCTCTGCCACAAAACTATTAAGACCACAAATCAGACATGAAAACATTCTGAAGATTTATAAAATTTTATATAATTTCTCTATTTTTCTGACTAGTATTAATGACTCCTCTTTTAAAACTATTAGCATCCAATATAACCTGTATTATTCTTATTAATTTTTAGGTATTTTGTATTCACATTGTGTGATTTATTTTCATTAATTTTTCCAAATAGTTTCAAATTATAAAAATAAATATCTATATTTGTGTATATTGAGTTGCCTAATATAAAATTCACTAAATGTCAATAACGACGCCATTGAATTTTTGATTTTCTTTTGTTTTTTGAAAGCGTCCCTTTTACTTTTACTTTTTCATAGCGTCGATACGGTTTGGGAAATTTCTTTTTTAATATATTAACTGTATTTTATCTAACCCAAACATATAAAGCTGCCTAAACTGTTCTAAACTATATTTCCGTTACGTAGACGTAAATTCAAATCGTAGCCAAACCGTTTTCATTGAGAGTAGTGCGGGAGTGCGATTTCGAGAGATAAAGGTAGGGACCAGGTTTTTCAATGATTATAGAGTAATTTATTATAATAATATCCAGAGTTTCGCTACTAACAAGCATAATCTAGGTATTGTCTTATTAGGGGGGAGATCAGTGATCCCTGCTTGTCGCGCGGCGCATCGCGATATTCGCGATTTTAGCTTAAAACGGTAGTTTATTGTAAAGGACGCTATGAAAAAGTAATTCAAAGTAATTTAATGTCGTTTTTTTATACCGATAGCAAAGCCTATAGTAAGTTAGAAGCTTTTTTTGGGGGGTAATATAACCCCAAAAGAGTGTAATGTAGGTGGATATGAATGTGCCATGATGGATTGCAGATGGCGCTCATGTGAATTTAATAATTAAGGTAGGAAAAAGTTAATATAAACTTATAAAATGCGACTAAAATGTTTATGATCAAGCAGAATTTAGACAATAATAGATAGTTAACTTGTTTAACTGCAAACGATCATCAACTTTTTTGATCATATGGAGAATCTTGACACTATACTAAACTTTGTATACAGCTTAAGGGACTGTGAATTATTTTGTGATGTTTATTTATTGTTTTTATATATAGTTTATAATATACTATAATGAGAAATTTGCGAAGAAGCTTTGCATGATTACAGATAAATAATTTTTATGAGAAGTTACTTAATAATTTCTTGAACTGCGACCATCCAAAACCACCTTTACATATATTTTTTATTTGATCACACTGTATATTTCATTAAAAAAAAGTTGATCAAAAGAGTACAGGGATCATAAAGTTGTTCATATACCTAGATTATTCTTTTTCAAATTTATTTTGTATGGTAAATCCTATTTAAAATTTGCAAGATTTTGTCATAAAATTCATAAAAAATATTTAATTATTTTAATAATTATATAAAAAATAATAGAAAATAAAAAAATAGTAAAAAAGTTCAGGTCTTTTGTTTGTTGTTTTTAGAATCCCTTTTTTATTTTTATTATATTAATAATAATAATTAAAGAAATAGTACAGTGTTTTAAATATAAATCGACATTAAGTAAATTTAAATCTTCAGTACTTCAAAATTAATTAATTCATCATGATCTTTTGTGAATTTCTAAGTAATATTTTTATATTATATATATTTAGTTCTTCCATGGTTACAGATGAAAAACACTCTGTCAGTGAAGAAGTTGATATATATCAAGCCAATATATAGAAGCAAACACACCACTCAATCTATGATGGAATTCTTAATTAAGGAGAAGGACATTATTACACTTCGCGATTAGGTAGAATGAGTGAAACCATGGAGGTGCCTAGAAGGAGAGAGGTCAGAAGAACAAATGCTACTGCAGAAAATTTAGATAATTGTAAAAATGGGGTAAACCAGAAAATTTCCTTTATTAATTTATCTTTCTAATATGTATATTTTATATTTTTCAGACTAACAATGCTTCTTTTGGTTCCTTGGTCTTAGTAATGTTGAATTGAAGAGACAGCACGCCTTATTCCAATATAAATCTTAGTGAGGTAAGTCTGACACGCATTTCTTTCTTTATTTTTCATGTTTTAATATTCAAGTATTTTTTAGGACTGCTGGAGCCACATGTGAAGCCTTGATGCTGTTTCGGATATATATGCAGGCGTCGATTTTAATTCGTGAACCATTCAGTTTCGATTGCAGTATTATAAATTCGATTGAGAAGCTTCAGTTAATTATTAGACATTTTTGTAATACACAGAATTTCGAGTATCGCTATATACGCGGACGCGTCGCGGCCAGGATGGACGGTAGGGTAAGGCCTTCCAGTTATGTTGTATTTATCAAGAATTCATCATGCTCTTTCGGTCATGTTGTATTTGGATGAGTTCATCATAACCTAAGAATATACACCCTGAGCTGTGCTAGCCAAGTCGATGTCTTTCGAGATCTTCATGTGGACGCGGTCGATTCATCCTGGCAGATTCTGTGTATCTGGTCGCGAGTGATGGCAAATTCGTTTCTCATATTCGGGCTGAAGTAAAATCATGGAATATATGGATAGGACGTGTTTTTAGCTCTTAGTTTGAAATGTAAGTGAACTTGATAACATATATTTTATGGTTAAAAAGGTTTATGAAAGAGCCTGTTTTAAAGTCCGACCCTTAATCCGACCCCTCTGATGTAATTTTTTCTATGAATTTTTATACAGGGTGTTTCAAAACAAATGCGAATAACTTTAGGGGGTGATTCCTTTTTCAAAATAAAGGGTAGTTTGCTTTATAAACGTTGGGTCAAAAGTCAACCATTAGGGAGATATCGCGGTACCAAGATGGCGGAAAAATAATGTTTTTATTTTTTTATCTTGAAAACGAAAGAGATAGACTAATGAGATTTTATGGAAGCATTACTGTTATGAAAACACACTTTCAGGTAATTTTTTACTTTTAAAATGAGTGGAAGGGGTTGAAATAAACTACCCCTATCATTCTTGTTAACGAAATTTAAAGAAAATCTTATCAAACACATGCAAATGCTTTAATTTGGATAGTTTAGTTTGTTTAGAAACTTTTTACCTCTTGTGTTTTTTGAAAAAACTCACCGATTGGAATTAAAAAATAAAATGTAAAGCATTACATGTCAGGACAAAAAACATTTTTAGATTAAGAATCTGAGTGATAATAACGATAATAATAATCATCTAGATAATAACGTATTGCAGTAAGTAATGTCATTTTTTCCTAAAAAATTACAGCAGCCCACTAGATTCTTTATCAGGATATGTTTTGTCCTGACATGTAATGCTACATTTTTTAATTCAATCATTTTTTCAAAACACGAGAGGAAAAAAAAAGACTAAGAAAACAAACTATCAAATAAACGACATTTGCTGTGTTTGATAAGATTTTTCTTTAAATTTCGTTAACAAGAATGATAGGGGTAGTTTATTTCAACCCCTTCCACTCGTTTTAAAAAAGTGAAAAAATTACCAGAAAGTGTGTTTTCATAACAGTAATGCTTCCATAAAATTTTATTAGTCTATCTCTTTTCGTTTTCAAGATAAAAAATAAAAACATTATTTTTCCGCCAACTTTGTACCGCGATATCTCCCTAATGGTTGACTTTTGACCCAACGTTTATGAAGCAAACTACCCTTTATTTTGACAAGGAATCACTCCCTGAAGTTTTTCGCATTTGTTTTGAAACACCCTGTATATTAACTCTCTTGTTCATAACACTTTTTAATCATAGGGTATCTACTATGTTAGAGTTTTTCACTTTTTAATTTATTTAGGACAGTGCTCCCAGTGCTCATTTTTCAAGATTTTGTTGAAAAATTAATTTTTTCAATCAGTTAATTTTTATCACAATAATGTCACCTCCATTTTTTTTTCTAAAATATAATTGATATTTAAGTTTTCTTTGTATTTATTTTCAGTAACATTTGCTCAAAGGCCTTGAAGCGGTTCCTAATGAGGTTTTACAACTGATGCAGCCCTAGAACGAAGATCTTGGAAACACTAGCCATCAGGATTGAGGTCCTGAACGAGATTTAACCAGGTATGTTATACGGTTACCTCATTTCTTTAATTTCCAACTAACGGCTTTTCTCTATTGTTTCAGGTTAGTGCTAGGCCTAGCTTAGATTTAGTCCGTCTTCGCGAGTGATGGTAACTATATGGAGCCCCCTTTTAAACGCTTTAATCAATCCGCAAAACTAAAGAATGATTTCTTCCGGTGGTTATTATATACATTATTAATTTTTCAGTTATCCCTAGGTGTGAGACGAACTTTAAGGGGACTAACGTTCCCCTTATGAGTCCTCACTGAAGCAAAGAATGTGTAGCTGATCTCTAAGGAGGCTAATGTCCCCCTTATGAGTACAGGAAGCAAGGAAGAGGTGTAATTGAGCTCTAAGGGGACTATTGTTAGGGGAAGATGTTCTTTTGTTAGGATCGGTTCGAATTTTATAGATATTAAGGCAAGATTTACCGGGGTGCCGTCTATAGGAAATAATATTGCAACTGCGCGATTATTAGGAAGGTTTTTAGAGAATATGCCATCTTGTTAGGATCGTTTTGAATTCTATCTTTAAGGCAAGATTTGCCAATATATCATCATGATCCTAACATCTTTTAGGATCATTTTAAATTCTATAGATATTAAGGCAAGATTTGCCGGGATGGCTATAGGAGGTAGTAATGCAACTGCGCGATTATTAGGAAGGTTTTAAGAGAAGATGTCATCTTGTTAGGATCGTTTTGAATTTTATCTTTAAGGCAAGATTTGCCGATATAGCATCATGATCCTAATATCTTGTTAGGATCTTTTTAAATTTTATAGATATTTAGGCAAGATTTGCCGGGATGGCTTCTATAGGAGGTAGTATTGCAACTGCGCGATTATTAGGAAGGTTGTTAGAGAAGATGTCATCTTGTTAGGATCGTTTTGAATGTTATCTTTAAAGCAAAATTTGCCAATATCCGATATATCAATATGATCCTAACATCTTGTTAGGATTTTTTCAAATTTTATAAATATTTAGGCAAGATTTGTCGGGATGGCTTCTATAGGAGGTAATATTGCAACTGCGCGATCATTAGGAAGGTTGTTAGAGAAGATGTCATCTTTTTAGGATCGTTTTGAATGTTATCTTTAAAGCAAAATTTGCCAATATCCGATATATCAACATGATCTTGTTAGGGTCTTTGCAAATTTTATAAATATTTAGGCAAGATTTGCCGGGATGGCTTCTATAGGAGGTAATATTGCAATTGCGCGATTATTAGGGAGATTTTTAGAGAAATGTCATCTTGTTAGGATCGTGTTGAATTTTATAGATATTAAAGCAAGATTTGCCGGGATGGCATCTATAGGAGATAGTATTGAAGCTGTGCGATTATTAGAAAGTTTTTTAGGGAAGATGTCGTTTTGTTAGGATTTCGAATCGAGAGGTGTACTTCACTTCTAAAGGGGCTAATGTCCTCCTGGTGAGTCCCCACGAAGCTAGGAAGCAATGGAGGGGGGGGGGGTGAATTGACCAGATACTTGAAATGCAATTTTTTTAATTGTACGGGTTTTTTAATTTTATAATTTTTTGAGATTACAATAAGGAAGTAAGAATATAATCACCATTAACAATTTTTCCTAAATTCTCAGTTTCTATAATTTTTCACCAGTAGGCATAAACCTTTTTATTAAATGTCTTGAGTCACGATTTTTATTTTTTGAAATCCAATATTCTTGCCATTTTCTAATGTAACTATTATAAAATGAATAACTAATTAATCAAAACTAATAAGTCTTATTTTTAAATTTAAACAGAATATATCACTGGTATTACATTTACCAAACGATTATAGTATTATTCAATTCCAAAGGACCTCTCTAAATGATTATAAATTTATTTAAAATTTTGCAATGTCTATTCATCTCCTCCTAACTTCATGAAGAAGATGAAGCTATCTAAGGTAATTTCTAATTGTATTAAAATTATTTGTTGAATTTTCGGGAGTGAAGTGATGGGGGCTCCTAGAAGAGATCCCAAGAACCAGTGACTATTAAAAGTAAAATATATTGTAAGAATGGTAGGGAATGAACAATGATCCTACGTCATGTTTTAATAATTTATTTTATTTTTTTTAGGCCAAGAATGCTCTCTGTTCAATGCAATCAATCTTAACCACGGTTATTTTTTATAGTACTCATAATCAGTTTAAATACAATTTTGGACATCTAATGTCTGTAGATTAGTACTCCTGAGAGACCGTACTGTAAAGAGACCACTTGAAATAGATTCCTAATATTGCTTTAATTGATATTCATTGAAAATATGCCACCAAGTCAGGATTGTTCACAAGAAAAAAATTAAATATATAAAGATTTTAAAAAGATATTTATTGGAGAAGCTAGTAGCAGTTATCATTTATTAGTTTTCCTAAGAATATACAAGGTAAGTGATATTCAGTCTTTCGTAAATAATATCATTTTCTATTTAATTTTTTTATTACAGATGTACTACGATATACCCTTATTGCAAGAATTTGAAGATGTAGGGTAACTACGAAGCATCATATTACAAAAGAAGAAGTAAGTTTTTTATGAATAGTTGATATTTTTTTTTTCTTCCAGGCTTACACTAGCATGAAACATACAAGGCGAATGGTAGAAATAAGCAAATACAAATGAAACAAAATAAATAGAAAAAGGTTGTAGGGAAGAATTATACCAATCTCCTAATTTATAATTTCATATAAATTCATTTACTAGTTTGCAATAATGTATGATATAATACCTAGGAGACACTTATCTAATCTTGTAAGTATATTATTTTAAAACTATATTAATTATATTTTTATTTTAAACCCTCTATTAGTTCGCTAGGTTAATTTACTAACTTTTTTCCGAGATTTTAAATTTATTTAATGAAATACAATATAGTTAAAAAGAGTTATGGTAAACTATGCTTTATATTGCAATAGATACACAATTACTATGAGAAATAACATTATATTTTTGTTTGATCATAACGCTTTTTTGATTTTACTTTTAACTGTTAAGCCTTGTCTACACATAACGTTTTCACCGGTCAGGTCAAACATTATGTGTAGAGGGGACTTAAAATTAGATTAATCTGGATCCATTTTCAGTCACAATAAAACTAATTTCAACTAAGTATATTGAAAACGAACAAAGAAAAATATGTTGTTTGCGCCAGTGAATTTTCCGGCAGTTCCACAAATTGCACACACGTCACAAAAACTTTAAAAGCAAGACTAGAAATTTACAAAACGCATTTTTCTTCCGGTTAAGGTAATTTCGAATGATAAATTTTCCAGGCGACATCTTTTCGAACTCTGTTCAATGATTTTCCAGAAAATAGCGACATCGCTCTATAATACTCTATTATATCCAGACATTTCACGATCTTATTTTTCTCCCGGTCATTCTTTTCAGCCGTTCTTAAGTAAGGTAATTAAATTAACTTTATTCAAATTGTTTGGCTTAATATCTTTGGAGCTGGTTAAACCCTTATTAAGATCTTCAATTTAAGAAACATAACATTAAGCGTGCTTATGTTTCTGACCTTTTTTAAGTAGATAATTTATATTATATCCCTTTTTTTATAAAGAGTTTCTTGTAAAAAATATAAAGTAGGTAGTTGAAGAATATATTATTATGCGAAGGTTGTCTTTTATATATATTATATAGAGATAGAAAAAAAAAACAGTAGATAACTTTTAACCACTATTGTTTTTCGAAGAATTCTTCACAAAGAGAAATGCATTTTTGCATTCGTTGAAACCAATTCTGAAAGCAGTTTTTCCACCCGCTTGTTGGTACCGTAAAATGGGGTGAATAGAAACAGTTTCGTAGGCTATTAGCGATATACCGGTTGATAAAAATGTGGTATTATTTTCCCGAATATTTTAAAACATGGGTCTTTGTTTGTTCTTTGCGTATACATATAGTTTGATTTTTGAAAAATATGCATATAAATATTAAATAAAAATAACTTTTGTGTTTCTATTCACCTGCTATTCGGGAGAATAGAAACACACATTGACGTTAAGGTTTTTATCTGTTCTATTTCCAACAAGGTGATTAGAAACAGATAATTATTACATATTTAAGTAGGTTTAGCAATAATTAACAATACATATAATATAACAACTTACATGTACCAGCTTAAGTATTACTTTAAAATAAATATTTTATTTATAAAGTTTTCGCGCCATACAAAATAGGTGATAAATCGATCTCACATTTATTGATCAGCTGATTGACAGAAACAGTGCTGCCACAGATAAAAATATAGTTTTTACATTTTATTGTGTATTACCAATGATAGAAAAATTAGATATGTCGACTCTTTTTACTTTGAATATTTTTAATCGTGATTTGATTTTTTTCAGAAATTTTGTTTCTATTCACCCCTATGTTTCTATTCACCCCATTTTACGGTACTTTCAAAATTGCAGATAATTCTTCATGTAAAATATTTTTAACTGAGCTTACATACATCATCGAAGATTTCCTGGATAACTGCCGTTGTTGCTGTCCTGTTCCAGCCGAATGGTCGGCGTCCCTAAGACAAATCCGTCCACGTTTAATTTCTCCATACCAACAAGAAATTTTTGGTTGATGTGGTACTTCATTGTCGAAAACAAAAACCAACTAGGCAAGGCATGCTTGTTGAGACAACAGCTTTTTTCGTTTTCCTGTTATTACCGATTCTGAACCGTCCTAGAACTCTGCAGCGCATGCGCAAATGAAATAATGTCTTCATATTTCCTTCTGCGCATTCGCATCACAGTTCTAGGACGGTTCAGAATCGGCAATAACAGGAAAACGAAAAAAGCTAACAGTCTAAAATTTTGGCGTAAAGTTAGCTAGAATGTAGAATGTTTAGGAGGGGATAGTTAATCAGCGCAACCTTACAGATCTATTGTGTGTTCCCCTTTCTTGAGTTATAACGAGTTATACACATACACATCATACAGTCTCAGGGCTTTAACAAAAGCCAGTATCTGAGACGGCTCCACAGAGGCCAGCGCTCCATCCTCGACATCAACCGTACCAAAGTTCATGACACGAATGGTCGTCGTCTCGACGCACTCAGTGATAAGGTATTCTGGTGTTTCCCCATTTTCCCCACAGAATCTGCATTCGCCGTTGTTTCTCAGCTTCAGCTTACTGAGGTGTTCGTTGAGGAGACAGTGTCCTGTTAGAAACACCGTGACAATTCGAAAATTGTTTTTACTCAAATCAAGGAAAACATTTGATTTTTGTCGGTCGTAAGTTCTGAGAAATTTAGCTAAAGATAACAGTTAATTTTGACCTTTGATATATGTTGACCTTTACAATGTTTCTGTATGAAAAATTTAAAAGACAACCCTCGTAATAGAAAATTTAATAAAAAGCAAGGTTTATTTGAGCTGTAACGTTGACCTTTGCTTGTACAAGAATACTAACGACGTGCTGAAGACTGTTTTGGTTTTTTGACGCGTCGTTTGAAGTCTTTTGTTGCCTTTTGGAATATCCCAGCCGGTCTAGTGCTTTGCCAATAAACGTTCGGGACCGTTCATCAAATTGTCTGGATTTAAACTTTATAACTCCCTAATTATCTACTTTATTAGCTAAATGTCGCGTGGACTTTTCCAACGCCAGCGATGATTTAAATCCGGAGTTAAAACAAAGACTGTAATTACTTTACACAAATGAAATTGTTTTGGTCGGAGGGAGCACAGGCAGATATAAAATAATAGGTTTTCAAGTTCCGAATGTTAGTTCGGAAAACACACATATATATTATTTTTAATTACATCAGTTTGGAAAAAGGCCAAGAAAACGTAGTACTATATATTCATTTAATTTTAATTGCAATTTAAATAAAATCCTTTGATTTATTTCGGCTTTTGATGTTCGGAATATGCCAAGGTTTTATTATTTATGGAGTTTTTCGATCTATTTTGTTCGCAAGGAGTCAACGAGGTATCGATTCGACACTGGCTTCAGATTAAGAACTTTAATTAGTGTCTTTTCCAAAGTCTGGGATCTTTTTTCGAGCTTTCTCGCTCCCATTCTCATGCATCGCACAATAGTTCTTTTTTTTTGGTAAAAGATCTGCGACTGTATTTTTTGAATTATGCTATCTCTCGCACTAAATGTCTCGCTTCCAGAAAATACAAAAAAATGGATGAGAAATGTTCATTTTTACGACTATTCCCTCCTATGAATTAGGAAAATTAGTAGAGGAGACTGTAAGAAAGGGATATAAAATAAATTTATACGTCACGTTCAGAACCGTAAGACGGTACAATTTCTCCAGCAAAAAGTTTCAATTAGTTCAAAACATTTATATTAACTGGTTAATAATACATTCTTTTATACTTTTTACAATGAAACGATGCTTTTGAATAATGAATCCACTAATATTCTATACCTAATTCATTCAGCAAGGCGAGATATCCCTTAGAAGGGGCCAGAAGAAAGCATAATCGACAGAATGATTAATGTTGCTTCGCCAGGTACTTAATAGTATTTTCCTATTTCATATAGGTCTACCATTGCTGCCCCCCAAGTCTTCAAGAATTAATTCTTATACACTTTTATCGAAAAGGTTTTTTGATTTTGTACCAATTTTCAACACCCTTAATTTTTTGCCATACTTTTTACCTTAATCGAACAATTTCTAACTGTCAGGAATCTTTTGGAAACCTCTAAAATATTTTCTTCTAATATAATTATTATTCAGCGTCAAGTCATTTTATAATGAATTTATGTTGATTTCTTAAAAAAAAAATTCTTGAAAAAAAAAGACACTGGAAAATTAATTTCCTTAAAAATCTTGTGAATTTAAGTACGTACTAGGATGTATTTCAGGAAAGTATTTTAACTTATACAGGGTGACTCAGAACAGTGTGAGTGAACTGGGATGATTTTTTTTTTAAATTGGCCAATTTACGTAATTTTAAGATATGAGTAAATATATTTCGATAGTTTCAGAGATATTAGGGAATAAATATAAAATATATATTTTTTTTATTCTTTCTTAAAAAATATATTAAAAATACAAGAACTGTCTTGAAATCAGAACTATATTAGTAATTTACTTTGGATAGTCTGTACTTACTTTGCTATAAATATTGTAATCTTAAGTAATTGAGGATGTTCAAAATTCTACGCCAAACTTTTATGTATTATTTAAACCCCCTATAAACACCCTGTATATTATTTTTTATTAGATGGATAATTAAAAAATGAACATTTTTTATACTGAGTATTTCAAAAACGGTTTCGCAGATATTCGCGATTTTATATCTCATATAGCATTTTCCATGGTAAACTTCTGTCAAAGCCACCCAGTGATTTTTCTCTCGTATTTTACCATTGAAAGAGCCATATGAAATAATACCGCGAGTATGTGCAAACTTAAAAATTTTGCTGTTAATTGCAAACCTGTTAAAATTTATGCAAACCTGTTAAAAAAATGCTCTAAATACAAAAAATTCTCCATCTATTAAAAAAATAATATATAGGGTGTTCCATTTAAAAACAATGGTTCTTTTGTTTTTAAATAATTTTTTAAAAAGGCCGAAAAAGATATGTTTTTTATTTATTTATTAATATCTCTGAAACTATCAAAACATATTTAAAAATATCTTAGGATTATATGAAGCGATCAGAAAGGAAACCAAAAATGCAATAATATACAGGGTGTACCATTTAAAAAAAAATCATCCCCGATCCACTCACCCTTTTTTGAGCCCTCCTATAGAGGTTAAATTTTTTCTTGATTTACATACTTTAGGTATGTACTTAAACAAAATTCCTAAGATTGTTATTTTAGGAGCTACAGATGCCCGACGCACTGTTGCCGGACCCTGTATATCCTTTTGATTCATTATAATTACTTGTTAGTAAGACAAATAGAGTTTTTTTACAAAAAAAAGAAAACTGATATATAGTAGTGATACTTTCAGGGGGGGAAGATGAACTGAAACTATTAACTGAAATGATATATCAAGATGGACTGTCAAATGAATTAACTGAATTTAGAAGCTTAATTTAGAAGAAAAAGTTTTACTAAATCTTCTTTTTTTAATATAATATACTTATATCTTTATTATTAATCTCTAATCTAAAAATACACAATGTAAAGTTTCTAAAAATGGTGCCATTTGTTTATTAAATATTTTTTTCACATACTACCTTATTTATTGAAATTTCTAAGGCAATATTGTGTCTTTATTAAAATATTCAAGCACCTAATCCAATATTCGAATTTCCTTTTTTGGTCCTCTCCTCAATATGTACATATGTATATTGAAATTTCTTTATAGAATATTTAGTCAGCCGAATAGATCACGTGTATTGTATATTTTTTATCAAATAATTTTATTGAAATACTTTCTTCAATAGTAATAATATCATCAAACCGCGACATAATTCACCTCTTTGTCACTATTTGTCATTCAGGCTGAATAAAATATCTTACAGGGAACAGCTATAAATTCTAACTAGTCAACATCAAAAAAGAAAAGTTCGTTTAAAGTTTCAAATAAAAGCGTCACATTCTTTTTCCTTCAGAATTCTGAAAATATAACAGTGCAAATAACTAAATATTACGTTATATTTCCTTAATTTTTAAAAAGTCTTCCAATTTTCTTCTTAGGAACAGTTGATTTCTTTGACATTTTGAAAGGGTTTTAATATTCTACCGAAATAACAGTACATAATTAAAAATGTGAGATTTACAGTTTTATAATTTAGAAAATGACCATAGATATTATGTAATACCAGGCTATCCTATAATGATGTCATTATCATTAATTGATCTCAACCTTATATTTTTATTTGATTACTTATTTAAAATTAACCTCCGAAATTTTACTTTCTCACTGCTTTAGTTTTTACATCCACATGGCCACTAAAACGACCTATTTTAGCAAATATGGCTGTACTTTGCATTTTGCATATCATAACAGCCGTAAATTTTTCCATTTTTGAAGTAGAAGGTGTATTATTTTTACGTAATAGGCCCAATTTACAAATTCTTCTATAGATATAGGTACTATCATTTATTTTATTCACCCACATCATGGTATATTGACACTTTTTAAAGCTTTTGTGGTACTTTTAGTAGGTCTATCCTACTTCTGATGTCAGATTGTAGTAAGTATTTCCCTCTTATTACTCTATCATTCTCGTTACGTAATATCTAGGGTCATTTTCTGAGTTAGAAAGAACTAAATTTGAGATATATATTTCCTATTGTTAATGTTATAAAAAATATATTTAAAAAATGTCAATAAAAGTTTATATACGTATATATATTTTATTACACTTCTGCTATATTAAAAGTTATACCAGTAGTTATTTCCAATAAAACATTTAAAGCTTGAACGTATTTATTTAATGTAAACTTGGAAAATAAACAAGCTATATTTAATAAAATACAAGTCTGTAATGAAAGGAAAAATAAATAAAACATATAGTATTGAATTAAATATATGAAATGATTTTAAAAATATTTCAAATTCTGATATAATGTCAGATTTATTGCAGAAATGGCTTTTTAATAGAGAAAGGAGGTTCCAAAATTATTCATACGTTGATTTTTGCTCGTTTTTGTTAAAAATATTTCCCGCTTCTGGCTTTTCGAAGCCCTTAATATATTTTTAAAAGCTTTCAGGTTTGCGATAGATCATATTTTTCTGCCGTTATGCCCAGATACCTAGTCTATTGTTAGAACTATCTGGAAAATAATAAATCAGGCAAGATTGAATTCGAGTTTACCTTAATTTTTAAGCCGGAGTGCTTTAAGAGTTTAATGAATAAACAAATATTTATTAGGCTATTTCTAGATTGTTATACATTTGAAATAGTGACGTTTGGAAGTTTTGGTAATAGTTATTAGACAGTTTGAATAAGTGAAACTAAATGAAAATGGTTTTACCAAAATTATCTGGACGTTGATACACTTGCGCGTCGACGATAGTTTGAAATCCGAAATAACTACAGGTGACCACGAGACAAGCCAAGGAAAATGTCATAGTGGAAATGCGGAAACTGTGTACATGACAGTGAAACTACGCGCCACGCAGAATCCGGCTACACGGCACAGAGAGATTTCCTTCGGTCCTCTCCTCGCGCTTTCCCGATTTCGTCTGAGCTTTCCCGCTGCATGGAGATGGAAAGCGGGTACTGACAGCACCACAGCGCAATTAAGTCACTTTTTCGTCCTAAACAACCCCACTTTTTCACGTTTGTGTATACATACATTTTTTTTCCTTTATTTTCTTCATTACGCGAATAAACACAATTTGCTTGAACTGAATCCTGATTTGCATAAAACGCCTAAATCGTTGAAATAACGCTGAATGTTCTGTTTTTCTAAATAAGAACGTTGTTTTTAATCGAATCACCAAAAAAGAACTTTGCTCCGCATTATTGCAGCAAAGAAAATGAAACTCTTGATGGTGTATTTTTCCAAAATTCATTTAATAACGGTAAAAATGTTTCGTAGTTTCCGCAAAAAGGGGAAAAAGTTTTCATCCAACTATATTCACCGCTAACAAGGCGTTTTGTCGTATCGTCTAGAAAGGTGAGACCTTAGCAGCGAGTAATAATTGAGTTACTCGCCAAGAACAAACACAGAGATCGGTCGAGACAAAAGAGGATAGAATTCTTGTTACCAGCAGGAAAAATAACAGAACTGTAAGAAACAAATACTCAATTATAACGAATTCGGTGTAAAAAGTTCGGTTGAAACTGCCTTTTTATATTTCGTTTTACTATGCAGCGTCTCTTGAAAAGATCTATTAAAAAGGTATATAAAAAAAGTTTATATTCACCTGTACCACATGAAAATTTCAGTATTTGTAGGAAATTTTATGTAGATTCAGAATATATACACCTTTAAAGGCTTAGATACCTTGGTTTTGAGAGAAAATTAATTTTTTGGACCTTTGATTTGAGGACAGATTACAATTATTCAGGACATATACACCTTTAAAGGCTTATTTATCTTGGTTTTGTGGGAAAACTAATTTTTTGGATCCATGTTTTGAGCTATTTTTTGATGATGGTTAAAACGTTTCTTACATATATATTACTGTTCTGATAAGACTACAATGGCCTATATTTTCGTATTCTGGGGGTATTTTCGTATTCCTATATATTAAATCACAGCAGTTTTAATAAAATCGGTGACATGACAAAAATCTCCTTTCAGGACTTTTTTCTTCCAAGGCTTTTAGAAAAATAGTAAACATGGTCATAAAATTATGAAAATTTCAGTATTTATAGCAGATTTTATGTAGATTTAGAATATATAATGATTTATCAAATTAAAGTGTTTTGGTTTTGTCAGAAATTGGATTTCCGGAAGTCCAACCCTGTTTTTAATTCGTTCCAATCCACATTTCGAGTCTAATCCCAAAGACACGCCATTATTTTCGAGAATTCTCCGGCATAACTACGTTATCCAGACAGTTAATAAGATCCCATTTTTAAAACTCCGTGCAAGATTTTCTGGAAATATAATTATGTTCATAGGGTATGTAAAAGTAATAAAACTACTATAAGATTTATAAAATATGGTAATTTTCGGTGAATATTGGACCTGCTGACCTTACTTTTCCAATTTAACTGGAAAAACGGACTCTGGAGATTCAACTCTCTGATAGAATTTTGTCCCATGCTTCTGCTAAGCCAATTTGCCCGGTTTATATGAGGGTGTTAGTGTAGAAGCAATGTATTTATGTTCGGATTTAATCCCCGGCATTTTATTTTTATTTATTTATGTTTTATTTTCTTCTCTCAAAAAGGTTTAGGATCAGCAAAAGAAAGAAACAAAGTACGAGGGTTGTCTTTTATATATTGCATATAGAAACATAGTAGGCGCCTGTCAACTTATATAAAATGTCATAATTAATTGTCATGTTTGGTTAACTTAACGCCAAAGTTTTAAACCACTTTTTAAAGCCTATACCTACACGGAATTTTTTACGATACAGTCTGGACCTAAGACCTAACGACTTTTTTACTTTTTCAAAAATTAAGAATGAACTGCGTGCTCAAAGTTTCGGCGCCTTCAAAAAGGCAATTTTAAAGGTACCAACAAGCGTGTGGAATAACTGCTTTCAGAATTGGTTCCAACGGATGCGAAAATGCATTTATTTTTCGTGGAGAATACTTCTAAAAACAATATTGTTTAAAAGTTATCTACTGTTTTTTTTTCTACCTCTATATGCAAAATATAAAAGACAGTCAGTATATCAATAATTTTTTTGTAAATTTACTTAGACTCAAGGATTTATTTTATACGTTTTGTCTGAACAGGTAAGCCTGGCAGGTAAAACGTTGTATATAGTCGAGGCTTAAAAAAGTTTGTATTTACGAAAACTACAATCCAAAAATTTTTACAATTTCATTGAATTTAGCGTCGTTACTTCAACATAAAACTGTTTTATAATTCTCGTAATTGGGTGATAAAAACGGTCTAGCTACGAGCTTTCTGGACTAATCATAAAAATACTAAAACTCCCGCGCTCATTTACATGTAAAGTTGAGGGATTATTCCCGCATAATGAGGTGTGGGGTAAAAATAATTAGGTTAAAAACCTTATGGATGTTATATTTTACGAGCTACGTAAAAACTTTTCCACTAACTCACTTTAAAATACTTTGCCAGCTCGGAAAGCTCGAAAATATTAGCAATGTTCGATTTTTTCACGAATATTATCTATTGGTCTTGTATTAATTCAAAGACGAATTAAAAATAAATTACCGTGCGGTTTTTATTCTCAGTATTTTGTTGTTTTTTGCCAGCCGAGGCAATTTTCTTTGTCCGCGAATTAATAGCCTCGGAAAATTCTGGGAAGGCGCACCTAAGTACACAGTCTTGTTTACGCTGCTTTAGTTATAAGTCTCTTCCCTTATCCCTGCGTCTTAGTGGGCTATGATTAACAGTAAACTTTGCTTAATAATAAAGGTAATAATAGTTAAATGCACTTCGTATCTATTTTAATTATGTTTTTGCATATAGAGGTAGATAAAAACAGTAGATATATTTTAAACACTATTTTTTATTTAGAAGTATTCTCGACGAATAGAAATACATTTTTGCATCGGTTGGAACCAATTCTGAGGTTTCCATGACCACGCAGTTCATTCTTAATTTCTGGAAAAGTAAAAAAGTCGTTAGGACTTAGATCGGGACTGTATGGAGGACGGTCCAACAATTCAATGTTTTCTTGTATTAATAACTCGATTGTTTTTCGAGCTGTGTGGGAACTTGCGTTGTCTTAGTGGAGGAGTATTTGTCGTTGAGGGTTGTTTTTTCGAAACTTAGCAATTAGTTCCGGCAAACAAATAGATATGTATCAATCAGCAGTAACAGTTCTTTGATCTTGCAGAGGAATTGTTGCTACCTGACCCGCCATTGAAACATATGTCGCCACCAGCTTTTTGGAAACACTTCGAGAACATTCAGTTTAAGTACAGGTTTAACAGAAGCAGTCTAAATCTTTGGCGTTAACTTATCTAAAGATTTTTTTTAATTTTATGTTTCTATATGCAAAATATAAAAGACAACTTTCGTATTATACTTACAGCGTATTTAATAAGCTTTTATCATTAATAAATACTTACTTATTGTTCTTTATACCTGTTGACTATACAGAAAGGAAAACTATAAATTACAAGCTAGGTAAAGAAGGATGGCACCCTGTTTTACTATGATAGCAAAAGGGTTTGCTGATTTATTAGCTCTAAATTCTAATACCAAACTTTAACCATTACCTTGAGCATGGGACAGGACACAGGGATGCTTTATTTAAAAAAATAGTATCAAAACAGACAAAATATTTATCCGAATGGAATTAAAAAAGGTAGTAATTTTATTCATGTAATATAATATACCTTTGGGATCTTGAATATAAATGGAAAAGGCCCTTTAGAACAAAGGAAACTTTATTTGGAAAGTTTAAACTTTCTTTCCTCAAGCCAAGGAATGGGCACATATCAGTTTCCGTAAATTTACATTAATAGTAAGCGGTGAAAATTTAACTTCTCTACATTTTACAGCAGTTTATTATCAATAAGTTTTTGGTTCTTTCAAATTTCTTGCTTTCAAATAAGTATCGTTTTAATTAAAAACAAATCTTGAGCTTTATTTTTAGAACTCTTATAATATTTGCATTGTTTTGTGTCATAATATATGTCCAAGAGGCTTTCCTTAGCCTGCAAATTTTTTTGGGAATTTTTTATTTTGTATATTGTGTCTTTTAAATGTTGCATATAGTGATAGAACTTTTAAATACTAGTGTTTTTCGAAGTATTATCCACGAAGAGAAAGGCATTTTTGCATTCGTTGGAAGCTTGTTTGTTGTTGGTATCTTCAAAATTGCGTTTTTGAAGGCGGTTAGTGTATCTTCTGGTGATTGAAACCTTTGGTTCTTGATGAAAACATTCTTAATTTTTGGAAAGGTAAAAGAGTTGTTAGGACTTATTTGACATTTGATATATATTAACAGGCGTTTATTTTGACATTTGATATGTTTCTATATGCAAAACTTAAAAGACAACCCTCGTACACGTTGAGGAGTATCTCAAGGCTTGGACTGCACAATTCAAACCTTAAGAAAAGACTGTATGTGTATGGCTACCTTTATGTTTATTTATAGTAGTATATAGAGCAAAATAAGATTTGAATATTGAAATGGTCCAAAAGAAGACTAAAAAACAAGACAATTTTTTGTCCAGTTTCCGGCTTGACATTTTTCATAAAAGGAAAAACTTGTATATAATGTATATTTTTTTTGTGTGTGTTGTGAGCGAGGAAACTATGTTTTATTGTGCCTTATATTAATAGTTGGAGTAAAAACGTGATTTATTTTGACAGATGCTGAATAAACAGGAAAATATTGTCGAGGTTATATATTCAAAAGTTAGCCCTAAAAAATAATATAAATAACTTTCCCTTTATGAAGAGAAACCACAAGGACGATGTTAAAGCCCATCATGAATATGAATAGAGTTTTGTTTTCTGCCCTTTTCCTTCTTTACTTCATGCTAGTGCGTTGATTTTGGCCTCTGTATACTTGATGATGTTTTAAGCTTTAAAAAATTATTAAATTTAAATAATATTAATATATGTTTTTTCTCTGCATTCTATATAAT